GGGATTGAACTCAGGCCCTAATGCTTGCCAGGCGAGCACTTATTCTACTGAGTCATCGCCCTGGCCCCAATATACTGGTATAATTATTAAAAAATGAGTACAAGTATCTTTGGTTACATTCCACTATCCACCAGAGGGGAGTAAGAACTACTGTTTCCTGAATATGTTATGCTTCAGAACTTTTTTTTATAACTGTAATTTTAAATCACAAATTTTACACAAATATACATTAGAACCCTTTAGCTATAAATTCAAAATACTAATGTCATAAATATTTAAGAAGCAAAATGTAAAGAAAGCATGGAGAAAAGGAATTAAGATCCTCTTTACAATCACATTAATTAAATGGCAACCGTATTTCTCTTTCTGCAATGCCAAACCATAGTAATCCTTCTCAGGGTTACATAACCTACTAAGTTCACTGAATAGGCTCTTCACATATCTCACAATATTTGCATTTTCAAACAAAGTTCTGTGAGAAAAGTAGGGTTTATAGAAAATTATTTCAATAATACCATTCTAGATGTACAGAGAAGTTAATTATTATATACCATGCATGCTTCAAGCCACAGTTTGTTTTTTTTGAAACAGGGTCTCACTATGTAGCCCAGATTGGCCTCCAACTTGCAGCGATCATCCTGCCTTAGCCTCCTAAGTGCTAGGATTATAGGTATGTGCCAGCAAGCCCAGGAGGCTTACTATAATTCTTGAGAAAGGCCAAGTAGCTATTAATGACTTGATATCACCCAGGATAAAGGTCTTTATTTCACTCTGTATCCTAACTGCAGTGTTTTCTGGCTAAGTATAACACAGTTATTGGTATAAAAGCTATTATGAGGGGTATAATTCTATAATTTTTCATGGTATCTGTATTTTCTTGAGTGCACTTATATTTTTATACCATTTACTAAATATATGTTTCAGGTTATTAGAAAATTCACAAAAAGAAAACTAAATGTCAAATGATGTGTTGGTAGACAATTGAAATATTTAGTTAAACCAGTGTATTTTATCTGCCAATTGTGTAAAAATACCTGGAACTATGTTTAAAGATCTACTTAATAATATTTTAATGAGATTACTCAACTTACCAGCAATATAACTGGACTTAGTCTCTCCTTTATTCACATGGCGCCTAACATGTCCTAGCATATCAGTTCTTCTGGTGATTGTTGCTGAACAAATGATACAATGATAATGGGCGCCCATTTTACTGGATATCTATCAAACAGAGTATGTAATTTAAGTAAGTTACTAAGACAATGAGTAGAAGTTTCAAATTGCAAATATGGTAATGTTTCTTGGGAGTAATTTTATAGAAGATAATGTTAATTTTGCCATGTGACTTTGAAAGAATCTTAACTTCTTTACCTATATTGAAATATGCTTTTAAATCTTATAATAGGTCATCAAGTAGTTTCCTAGGTTTTCCCCTCATTCTACTCAGTGAATAACTATTTTCTATAAGGTACATTAAAAGTGGTTATATATGTGCTCGCTTTGGCAGCACATACACTAAAATTGGAACGATACAGAGAATATTAGCATGGCCCCTGCGCAAGGATGATACACAAATTCGTGAAGCATTCCATATTTTTCTGAACCAGAGCTTGGAACAAATGGACTTGGTAGACATGCACAGAGTGTTCCACACAACCACAGCAGAATACACATTTTTTTT